TGCAGAAAAGTTTTTTTTTTTTTTTTAAATCTACTAGTTACTAGTTTAAGTTTATAATAATACTAATACTAGTTAAAGTTTATAATAATAAAAAATGTATTCCATAATTATGTAACGTAATTAATTATTTTATTATGTAATTGTAATTGTAACCCTTTATTATTGTATCATTTACTAAAAATGTTTCACGAATTTCCTTTAATCGGCTTAACGATATTTAAATTTACTCGGCTGTTATTAATCTTTCCCTCAATTGTTAAAGTTTTCAATATCAAACCAAAACAAAAGTCAGCAACAGCACCAAATGAGGTCAGCGAACAGAAAGACGGAGCAAGTGTGTGCGAAAGAGATGGAGTGAGAGAATGACAGAGAGCGATACGCACAAAACACAAACTATATATATATATGTATCAAGTCGAGGATCGTTCAGCTGAATGAATATGCTCGCCTGGTACTTTGTGCCTGTATATTATCGATCATGTTTTAAAAGCGAAAGTGAAGCAGTGTGACGACAGCCTGGGCAAGGGTAAGGGTAAGGGTAAGGGCAGCGCAGGGGCGGGGCATGGCAACAGCGTACATAAATATATGTATATAAATTTACTCGGGGTATGATAATTGTATGCAACACTACTGGCCCTCAATCTCGTATCGCCGTTGTTGATATAAAAAAGCTTCACGTTTATTTTTTTTCGCCTCTGCTTTTGCTGTTGCTACTGCTGCTGCTGTCGCTGGTGCTGCTGCTGCGGCTAGCTGCTCGCCTGTTCCATAAACAAAGCAAGCTATCGATTTCTACATAAAAAACGAAAGTAATGGCTACATACATTGGCCTGGCCCTGGCTGCCAACTGGAGGCCGCGGTCGGGGCTGCGGTCGGGGCCGCGGCCGGGCCCTGGCATACAGCGTATAACCCAGTTTTGGGCAAGGGCAAGCGCGTCGCATTGACCCCGGACGCGAAGTTCAATGAAACGCAGGTAAATGCCCCAGAATGGTGTCACGTTCAGGGACCGCCCCTGACCCAGCGACAGCAGCAGCGACAACGACAGCCGCAGCACAGCGATCGACGCTACGATTGAAAGAAAAATCAGACGCCTGTTGCGTGTAGCAGGCGCGCAGTCGCTGGCAGCAGCTGCCACTCGCATTTACAGTTGCTTTTTCGGCAGTTCAATGAACTGCACACGCTCGAAATTTTCGGAGATCGTTGACCGCACAGCGGAACGCAACAGCAGAGTGAGCGAGAGAGAGAGAGCGTAAGAGCAACGAACTGAGCACGCGTAGCGGCAGCGGCAGAGGCAGAGGCAGAGGCAGAGGCAGTGGTGGCGGCAGCAACGTTAGCTGACATCAGCGCGATCGCTTACACTTGTTGCGCACCGGAGCGAACGAGCGCGTGAACGGCTGTGAGTGCAAGTGGGAGCGAGAGAAGGCGACGCGAACGACAGCATTGGCTGACGCTTGAAGGCTAGAGAGCCGATTGGGTTAATATGAGCACACAAAAAAAGCTAATGCAAAGTAAGTGATGGATAAATCGAAGACACAAAATATGTAAATTAAAAATACATATTAAATATGAGATTTACGGAATTATTTATATATTAAACTCAACTTTTGGGAAATTTATATTATATTTATTTGAACGACCATATACAAATAAATTATATTTATTTATGATAAATGATACTTTTTTAAATGATGTTTATGTATTTAATTTTAATAATACAAAATATGTTATATATATATTCTAACTACATAAATATATTCTACTGGCCTCTCAAAATATTTTTATAATTTTATATATTATTATTTATTAATAATCATATAGGATCAATAAACATGTATGATCAATATATAAGAAAACTTCAGAACATTCTCAAACAAGCTTATTTAATTTATTAAACACGTATTATTATAACACTATAATGATTTTATTTAGTTTAATAATATATTAAATTTTGCTTATATTTTAAGTACTTCTTTTATTGGACTTAAAGAAACTAATTTTATTATGGTTATAACAGTTCGCACAAATTCTGTTATTAATTATAAAATTTTATAAACTTGCAAACTTGCTATATAATAAGTACCAACAAGTACATCATCAAATTCCACGCTCACATTTATTTAACACTTATTCCAAAATAAACGCATTTCTAGGGTTAATTTAACAGTCGCTTATCGCGCGGCCCTATAAAGGCGACTGAGCAACAAACAACCATCCAACTTAATATATTTTTTCTTTTCTGCCCGTTATAAAACATTAATTTTTTTGTTTAATTCGAAATCATAAACTTTTTGTAACAAGCGCACAGCAAACGCTTGAAAGTCGTTTGCTCAAATGCACTTCACACGCGCTGCACAACAACCACATGGAAATGGAAATTGGAAATGGAAGTAGAAGTGGAAATGGAAATGACGGCACGGGAGGTATACGGGCAGAAGTGAGGCGGCCAAGCGAGCGAGCACAGCCCACACACAAGGTTGCCTGATAAGCGAGCCAACGGCACACAGCTGTGCGGCAAACAATCAAATTGATATGAAATGTGATGCGGGTGTATATATTAATTTATATATATATATGCATATACATATGTTCACAATATAAATATTGCTTCAGCCAAGTGCATCTAAAATAACAATATGTAAATAACCAATTACATACGAGACGAGACGATTGATCACTTGAGACGATTTCAATGTTTAATTCACATTAAAATGTTCGTAAGCAAATGCAAAATTTACTGTAATGCGCTTTCGATTTCAATGGGTGCTCTGTAGCGAATTCCATGAGCACCATTTATCCAAATGCCCAGGCGTTCAGTTTTCTAGTGGACGTATCTATATCTGTCTCGACTCGACTCGACTGTCATATTAAGTTTTTTCTCTTTCATTTGGATAAAACGTGATTTCTCTGAGCACTCCACCATACATATACATATATTATAATTATTTCAACACTCAAAGAAAAATGTTAGTTAATTGATTATTCTAATATGAAATATTGAAATATATCTATATATCAATATGTAATTAAAAATGCAAAAATACTTATAATATTATTTAATTATTTATTTTTAATTTTCCTATTTGTTACTGGGACTAAGAATAACTTATTTATTAAATTACAAATAAAGAAAAATACATGAATATGTATAAATTTTATATTCAGTTGTGTCTGATAAAAATATATTTATTAAAAAAAAAAATTTTTTTTTTCATAATTATGTTCTTTTTTTTTAGCATCAATATTTATTAGCTAAAATATTTCTTTTGTTTATTTTATAACATAGAGCTTTAATTCCCCGTTTTGTTCAGTGTATATTGAATTATTTAAACAAATGTGTCCAAAGCTAAGCAAAGAATTTCAAATCAACATATAAACGAATTAAACCCTCACAACAAAAGCGATAAAGGCGCGAGTGTGTGTGCTAAGAACATGCACACACATGCATACATACATACAAAAGCAATTATACAAGTGTCTGCTGATGTGTATATATATTTGCGTGTGTGTGTGTGTGTGTACAATGATTGGGCCAACTACGGCATTATCAGTCAGCCGTCGTTGTCTCTCTCTCGCTCTGTCTCTCTCCTACTCGCTCTCTCAGAGACGCGTTGCTATCAAAAGCTGTACGCCTATTCGAATTAGTACAAAATAATACCGTATTTCCTAGAGTTTTACGGAATTACCGTTACGCCGTAATAGCATAGCAAACACAATGCTATGCTTAGGGCAAAGGCAAAACGAGACAGAGAGAGTGAGAGAGAAGGGGAGAGATCAAGAAAGAGAGTGGGCCAAATTGGTCAACTTTTAGTACAGCCTTCATTTCTGTGTCCCGGGCCGCAATTTATGGTAAACAAGAAGACGCAGCTTTTATAGCTCGCAGATCAATCTTCTTCGGCTGGGCAGCATTTGTTATTGGTGACGGCGCTCTTTATAAATATTTTTATTTTGTTTATAAAATTTAACAGTGGAGAGCGTAAAAAAGTTTAAAACATTTTAAATAGTTTGCTAATTGAACAGGCGAGCAGCAATAGCGACGCAGTCGTTACGCATTTTGGTTTTCGGTTTTCGTTTTCGATTTGTTGGATTTCTGTCTCTCTGGTTTCTTCTTCTTGCTGCTTGTTTTTCGGCAGCAACAGCGACATCGATCGAATCGCTTTGTGATTCACAAAAACCATTCGAAAGTGGGTCGAATGCGGGCGAAGCCAGATACAAAGGGAGACAGAGAGAAAGAGAAAGAAAGAAAGGCAGAGAGCGGCAGAGAAAGCAGCAGCAGTAAACATATATTTAGAGATGTGAGCGTGTCACGAAGCAAGAGAAAGATCATTGTCAGAGTTTGTAATAAGGAGAATATTGTATGGGATCAATAAGTAATATATGAGCTGTATGTAAGAGGTTTGCATATAAAAAATATAATGTTTAAATGACTAAAAACATAGAGTATATTCAAAGAACTAATCATATGATATATATATATATAATGTGTAAGATAAGTTAAGCAAACTATTTATTTAAAATATAATACAATATATAATCACACATCTGATTAGTTCCATGAGAACGTATATTTATATATACATATATATATTTCATTTTCGGCATATATATTTATATTTAGTCACAGTTACACAAACACTCATTGGCGGGATAATAATAATTTAGGCTGATATTATGTGGACCGAATTGCTCAAATATCCAAGTCATTAAGTGTGCCATATTAACAATGAGTCCACTTATAGCATCGCTGCGGTTAACGCTTCCAATAACGATACCCGCTTGGGTGTACCGATTCGGATCGCTAGGCATAGGACAGAAGAGCGGAGCGCCCGAGTTCAGGCTGAACGTCTTTTGCTCACTCGCATCGATGACACACATAAGACTCTCATCGAGTGTGGAATTCGGACGCAAGTATGCGCTAGGCAGACGCTCTTTGCACTTTGATCTGGGTTGAATTTGAAATTTCAACAAATGAGGTGTACCGCTCTCACGACTCCAGGTCATTGTCATGCAGGTGCTGTAATCGAATGTTGTACCCAGAACGGGCAGACAGAGAGTTCGAATGTTCGGCTGAAAGACGAAGTCCAAGTCGGCAATGAGTAGGGCCACATTATTGCCCAGTCCACCGTCGTAATTCTTGTGCCTTATTATTTATTCCACTTCATTAGTTTGATGCGAATATTTCTCAGTGATGCTCGTAATATTCCATTCGCCCGCATGCACATAAAGAGTGTCGCTCTCCAGATCAATCAATATGCTGGCAGCCGTTAGCTCAAACTTTGGTGTAATCAGAGATCCAGATCCCAGAAAGATCTCATTATTTGATATGATAACAGTCCAGGGGAAGCTCTCCAGGGGAAGACCTCCATCTCATTCAGCTTATTGTCAACGTTTGCCTTCTCCTTCGGATATCCATACCCACAGCCCGTATATTCTGGCACGGTGTCGTCATGCTGTTGCAAATATTTATTTATTTTTGTTGATTATGCAATCGACTATTCACATTACCTTTCGCTTATAATTGGTACTTGTTGGTGTCTTAGTTTCTTCACAGTTTATTCCGATTGGAAATAGATTACTTTCAAAATAATCAAAGCTTTACTAAGATCTAAACAAAACATATTTGATTATTTCTTTAACCCTAAGCTCAACAGGTTTCCTGCTCTTTACTCTAAAATATTCAGCGATTAGGCACTGCAAGAGTTTGAAAGCATACTACAATACAAAGCAATAAGGCTTAGTAATACAATATAAATATTGTGTATATAATATAAATGATTTATGTGGATTAAGTGCCATTTGCATGCAAATGCTGCCCAGCATATACTCTAGAGAATTGTACCGAGAGTTATATATATATATATATATATATTTCTTTTATTGTTTATTTTGCAATGTGGCTAGACAAAATAAGAAGAATATATTATATTATTTTAAATGATTCCCTTAAAAATCTGATAAAAATTTGTTAATCAATATAAATAATTAATAAATTATTTTCACTTAATTACAGGCTATTCATCAGCTTGTCAAGCAAACAATAATTGTACATTGCTCATAACTCAAACTTAAAATGAAGTAGTTGAATTTTGAAAATATTTTATGAATACCATATAGTTAACTTTAGATAAAGACTGTTTGAAAAGTATTTCTACTTAATATTTTACTTTTTGGTAAGCTTTATCGTAGCTCGAGCAAATCAGTATGGATTATATACTAATATAGTCGCATCTAATAATATGTATTACATAAGTCTACGTTCATTGGTAACTCCAATCTGCAAATATACATCTAATATAAACTTATCAATTAGATGGTCTACCCAACAATAAAAATTCCATTTAGTCATTATTAACACAAGAATAATTACATCTTTAAATATGCCTTCAAGTGGTTCCTCGCATAACATTACGTATTAAACATTATGACGCCCTTAATTAGCTTTATGGTCTATTCTTGTTTAATACCTGTGGACATTCTTTACAGCTGGTCAGACTAGCGAAATATCTGTTGCCGGTGCTGTCAAGGAAACTGAACAGCAAATTCCTGCCTCAAACAGTGCCCATTCACGTGCAGCTTGTTGGCGATGCTTGAGGGCCAGTTGACATGGCGACAGGTGTGAGCAGCGGCCGTGTGCATGGGGCGTAGGTCAGGCTGAATGGCTGCTTGGCTGACTGCCTTGCTGTCTGCCTGTTGCACTTTTGCACATAATCATGTCACATAAAGTGCACGACAGCGCGCAGGATATGAGCAAGAAAGAGCAGCAGTTGAAGTTGAAGCAGAGGCAGCGGGCAGCGAGCGGCAGCAACAGCAACAGCAGCTAGCACCCGCATCTTTTGTTCATGGCTTTGGCCAGGTGACATGTGTCGCTTAACTTTAGATGGCTGCGCGGCCACTGGTACTTGTTTCCCCTTTCGAGCTTTTCATTGCACTGCCTGTTGGCGCTCAAAGAGAGTGTTTTAGCTTTTCAGTAGTTGGTCCACCGAGCATTGTTTACCAATTTCAAACTGTATACGAATTTTTAATTAAATTTACTCTCATTTAATATTCATAGTTTTTGATCAAAAATGCCTTTGTTACTAATATAAACAATTTGAATTTAATTTAATAAAGTTTGAAAAAGTTTTTGCTCAAATTAACTTTAGTTAGCTTTATATGATTACTAACAAATTTTCATGGAAAATTAAGCACAAAAACATTAATAAGAAATATACAACTTTTTTTTTTAATTTTAATTAAAGCTTAACTCACTTTGCTTCGGTTTACAACTAATTTCGTAGTTTTAAAATTTTTCATACCTTTGGTGTGGTCGTGAAAAGTTTTGGAATAGTTGTTCATTCCTAAATTTAAATATTTGTATAAATATTCATTTATTACTGTCCATTTCTATTTATAAAACAAGCTGCAATAAATAAATATTAATTAAAATATATAAAATAAAATAGAAAAATATAAATAATATAATAATAATAATAAATAATCTAATAATAGTAATAATCTAATCATAAATAATCTAATTTTAATTTTAAAAAATTGTTAAATCTAATTTTTTATTTATATCTTAATCACTTTTATTTCTTTAGATCTGTCTGCATCTGCATCTATATTTATTGTTTTTTAACCTAAATTCGTTGTACTAAACGTACTTGAATTTTTATCTAAATATTGCTTATTCCTCATCAAACAGACAGAGTATTGTGCAGTCGATTGCATTTGAGTGCAAAATGTTGACTTGCTTCGGTTTGCTTTTTATGCTCTGTTTGTTCTGCTTGTTGTGTGTTGTTTGTTGTGGGTTGACATTTTTTGCTGCTGCCTGTGCTCATACAAAGGATATGAGGAAGCGATTGTCGGTCGGCTGGCACCTGGACACGATGGGTGTTAAAATAACAGGCAGCGAACATATTGACTTTTAAAATAAGCATTATGGCGGTAAATTTTTATGAAAACCTTCAGCCTGTCACAGCCGTTTCCCCAGCCATTTTCCGGCACAGTTTGTGCCCGTTTGGCTCGTTGTCAGACAGCTGAGTGATTTATATGTATTGTTTAATATTATTATGGCTGGCAGTTTGCAGGTAGCACGTGTCAGCTGGTAGCTGGCAACTGGCAACTGGCAACTGGCAGCTGGCAGGTGGCAACTGACGGCAGCAACAGTAGCACATTTGCTGCTCGCAGCAATCGCTCAGCCGCTCGTTCCGCCCGTCGCCTTCTCTGTGCAAAATGCGAAAAATTGAGCACATTACAAGCAGCCCAGAATATCCTGGCTCATGTGCCGCATCCGTGTCCGTGTCCGTGTCCCTGTTCATGTCCATGTCCGTGTCCGTGTGTTTGTCTGTGCTTGTATCTGTGTCCATGTCCATGTCCATGTGGTCTGCAATAATTGTTAAAGTGTGCGGTCTGTGAAAGATGCGAGTGATGTACCGATCTGACCCTCAACAGGCGCAGCTCAGCCTTTGAGAGCCCGTTGAGTGGCCATTGGGAAAGTTGATGTGGATGTGGATGTTGATGTTGCAACAAGCGGGACTTCAGTTAAGTCTTTAGCTTGGACAGCAGATAATGGAATATTTAATTATGGCGCTTTCAATACGACCAGTCGCTATCAGAGCTGTAGACAAATTGTTAATATATCCATAATATATGCGCTGTACAGGAAGATGTGGAAAAGTCGAAGTGCAGGTAAATTTAATAATAAATTGAATAATGACAATGAAGTTGGCTAGCAAATTATTTATGATTACATGTATTATATTATATATTTTATTTCCTTACTTTGACAATATAAAAAAATAAATAAATAAATAAAAATATATATAGATATATATATATGGATAAGAAAAAAACGAAACATATGAATTGAAATATTTAAAAAATAATTTAAATACATTAAAAATATATTAAATAAAATATTAAGAAAAAAATGAATATATGTGTATATATACAATATTATTAATGTATCTAAATTAAAATTAAATATATTTTAATATATTTAGGTACTTATTTACTATAACAATAAAATATATTAAAATATAAGCAATAGATTTACTGACTTAATTTTAAATTTAAGTTTAATTCATTAAAATAAATGGATAACAATATAATATAATAATACAATATGCTCAATTTATTTTATACGTTACGCTTCAAGATTGTTAAATAAAAATATAAATAGTTTCTAGTTTCTCAAGTTAATTGCATTAAATACACATACATATATATGTATTTGAATACACACACACAGCCACTTTGACAGTTCCATAGATAACAAATTTAGCTCACACCTTCAACACTCGAATATCGAACCCTAATCACACTTAGCTCTTGCTCTGCTTTAACTCGGCCCAATTACAGGCCGCATAATTTGCTCATTAAATTTATGCGACTGAATAAACAAGAACAAACTCAAGCCAACAACAACCACAATAACAACAACAAAAGTAAACACCAATAAAAGTTGACATTTTTAACGTGCTTAATTAAATTGCAAATCGGTAGCGAAATTTACATTTTGCTGGCAAATTTTGTAACAATTCATTTGATTACGATTTTTATTAAATTTGTTTGTTTTTATAAATATGTATTAAAAATAAAATTACAGCTTTTGAAGCTGGTCAAGTTCAGGCTTTACAATGATTTTTTTCTTTTGTACATTTGCAATTGTTGTCAAAGTATAAAAAAAATATATAAAAAAAATAAATAAAAAAAAATATATATATATTCAATAAAAATCAGAAGCCAGCAAAGTTGATTAAAAAATGCCCAACAAATAATACAAATAAAAATATGTATATACATATATATAACTGTGTGTGTGTGTTTATAAACACATACTTAAATGTTGATATATGTATTATAATTAATTTCAATTTTACATTACAGTCGCGCCACGCCCAACGGCCTTGATTGATTGCAATTTAAATGTATTTTATTTGCTTTTTGTTTTTCTTTTTTCGGTCTGCGGTAAATATTAAGCGCAAGTCTAAAAGTATGCAGCATTTTCGTCGTCGTATTCAAATACGTAAAACAAATATGAATATCGAAGAAAAAAAGGAGAAATTACGGAAAAAAAATGTGTATGTTTATGTTACTTCTGTTATTTTGCATCAAACTGCGCTGAGCCGTGTGCACAGGTGCTCAACGTGCGGCGCTTAATTACCTTTTGAAAGGGTTGCTGGCATGGGCCAGCAGGAGGCAGGTTTATTTTTACAGCATAAATCGCGGCTTAACCACAGATTTTGTGCGCACAAATTCATATTTAATTTCACATCCATAAATGACTCTTGCATAAGCGCCCGATAGAGCAGGTAAGCTCGTGTGAGTACGCAGAGCTAATGTGAGCGATACCTGCAGTAGGAAGTGCTATTAAAACTGTCAGCATTATTATTGAATAATGCATAAATACTAATTACAGTTATTTGACGTCTTTCTTATTATGGTGAATAACAATGAACAACAATTATTTATATTGTTTTCCATTTGAATAATTTGATATTATTGTGAAAAGTGCTCTCTATTCAATTTTAGTACACAATAATAATATTCTTCATTTTTACATGCATTCTGTGCGTCTGTTCAATATAGCGAATGTAATAATAAAAATTTATTTATTAGTTTTTTAATTTGAATATTAACTTTTTTCTAAAAAAAATGTAAAAATTCTTTTTAATTTCATTTTTAATATCTTTTATTTTATTTTTAATTTTAATTTTTTTTTTACTTTGATAAATATTAATTCTCTCTTATTTATGTTTTATTTTTTTATTTATTTATTAATTTATTTATTTTTTTTTTTTGAATTGACTTATAGAAATGCAAAAACTTTAAGAATATTCGACACACATGTTAAGCAATATAATATATAATTGTATAATGTATAATATATACAAAATGTAAATATAAACAAATAACTTTTCGTTGAGAGAAACTCTCGTTATTTATGCTTATCGATTGGCCGAAACTGCTGTAGGTGCCTGGCGATAATTCGGCATTGTTTATGGCTGTTGACGCTAGATGGCGCTCGACACGTTGTCCACAAATTAAAAGCCCCGGCGAAAGGCGTTGATTAGGCCCGATAAAATTCATTAACTAAACACACAGTGGCCTGAGTAGTCGCCTAGGCAAGCACGATTCAAGCATTTTAATAATGCAGACAACACAATTTGTGGTCTGCAGGAGAGATGCGAGCTGAATAGGCAGGGGGCCTAGGGACGGTACTAGCAGCAGCTAAATGAGATGTAATTGAGACGCTGCGGCTGGGATTTTTGCGTGTTTTGCGGCCTTAATTGGAAATACGAGTGCGGTTAGTAAATTGTTTTGAAGAGTGTGCAAACTTCTTCAAGTCAATATTATAAAGTAACTATGCATAGGCTGTGCGTTCAGTGTCGTGTGTTTGAGCTTTCGTTAGCAGCTCAGCCCAAGTTGGAAATTTAGTTTTTGAAATGAAATTTAAGTATCAAAGCAAACACTCAGCTCTCAAAATAATTAAAAGTATTGCACGAAATTTGGCAAAAGGTAAGTTGCAGGCGCACTAATACTAAGAGTATTAAATCTCGCAAACTAACTTGAGCTTCCCCTGCAGCACTGACTAAATCATTCTTTTATCTGGGCACCCCAACACTTTGTCCCGCACAGCAGTTGGCCCTGGTCAGCTGCTTCCATCCGCACTACAGCATCTCGTATTGGTCTCATTGTCATCTGTGTGCGTGTCGTAATGCTGGACACATTTCTGTATGTGCTCTATGAGTTCCTCAAGTACGTTTTCCCGATACGCATCCTCAATGAACTCGACGATCTGGTATTGCCCAGCGAGACGGAGTATAGTGTCTGGCATGATATCTAAGGCCGCCGCATTTTCTTTAATCTCTGTCTCGTTTAATATTTATTCTGTCTATTTGATATGGCAACTAATTGATTGATGATGATGTTGCTGTGCGGCAAGAGTTTCCAATAAAAAGCATTCCTGAGCCTAAAGACCCCCGCGACGAAAATGCTTGTTACTAGGGCAACTTGAGCCGTGGCTCGATTCGCTACACTTTTTCGCTCAATTGTCACATAATTTTCGCATAAATTATCAAATAATTTAAAGCCCACCCCTCCCACACCATTTTCCCCACGGAGTGGCGATGCAATCCGAGAATTGCTTAGGTAACCAACCAGCGCGAGCAATGAGCATCAAATCAAATTTATTGCCTTGGCTTATGCTCAAGTATCAGAGGGAGCTCAGTTGGTGGGCTGGTGGGTCGGTGGGTCGATGTGGCGTGGTGGGGTTAGGGGCTTACTATCAGGCAATTGAGTGAGTGAGAGCGTTGAGTTGGCTGTAATTGCGTATTAAAATTATACACCAGGGACCATTTGTTTAATGAAATGTTGCGATGTCTGTAAACTAATTAGCTCGCCCCAGTCAAGTATATTACTATTTATGTAACGTAACGAAACTCCCGCAACTAGTTAATGATCATAATGATGATGATGATGATCATAATGAGAATGAGAGCGGGTAGTTGAGCTTCTCATTTGCCGCCTGATGGGTTGTATGCGGTAAATGTGCTTAACATGAGTCGTAACAGCCAGCTAAAGCATATCAAATACCTGCTCGCGGCATAACTATGGGAACGACTGCAAAAAAATCGTAGATTTCTGTTTATGTAAGTAATTGCAAAATGGGAATGAATACAGCAAAATGAGAATGAATACAGCAATTGCAAAAGTAAATAAAATGCTCATTGCATTATCAACAACTTTTGAATCTCAGTGTTACCAGCTTGATCTGGCCCATTTAAAATTGTGTTCTAGCCTATTGATAATGATCATGGGATGGAATAGCGAGGAATTCAGGCAGGGTAAGAAGTCTTTATGAGAATTATAGAAGATTATAACAGCTACAGAAGAGCATTTCAGTTGTCTATATGTATGCAGCAGTATTTATTTGATATTTATATTTGAGTAAAGCGAAGCTAGAATGCTTAAAGGAACAGCAAGTGTTCTCATTGGTCACTTCAAGCTCGACTGCAGCGATTCCCTACCTGACGTCGGGCTCAACATTTGAGAGCGACTTCGTGTTTGAGTGAGAGTCGCCCTATATAAAGGGCAGCAGCTGCAGCATTTCTTCAGTGTTTCTGTTGGAGGTCAGTAGTGCAGTTCAGTAAAGTGAAAGGAAGAGTGTGTGTATATGTAATGATCGGTCAGCTAAGCATTAAGAAAGAAAGATGAACACTTTGAAGAAATACTTAGAAGAAACACTGAGAAGAAAGACAGAGAGGAAGCACTGAGAGGAAGCACTTAGAGGAAATACTTAGACGAAATACTTAGAGGAAATGCCGACTTCTTACTTAGAGGAAGAAATACTGAGAGGAAACGCTGAGAGTAAATATTAAGAGAAATGATTTAGAAGAAATATTTAAAGGAAATAGAAAAAATACTTGGGGGATAATCAAAAGAAATAAAAGCCTTTGATTCTAGCTAGAAAACTAAAACATATTAAGCCGAAGGACCCTCTTGCCAGTGCTTAATTTTTAGGTTAAAAGAAATAAAATGAATTGGGTCATGGTCATGTATTGCAAAAACGAATTAACAAAGAAAATTATGATTTTGGGCAAATCACTTTAATTTATTACTCAATAATTATTATCTTACTGCTAGAAATTATATGATACTGCACAGAAATTATATTATACAGCAACAGTGTGCAAATATGCTATACAGATATTATACCACATATAGCAACAGTATCCATTTCCATCGTAGTTCCAGGCGGCGTCGTCTTAACCAACTGCTGTCAGCTCAGCAAGCAATCGTCAATTGTCAAAGGCAATTTGTTTGGCTTGTCGTATGCTGGCTCTCTCGTGACACCTACTCACACACACAAACCCTACACACACACACACAGTATTTGCAGCCTTGGCGCTTTGTTCTACTTTCTGCTTGTCTTTTTCGCTCTTTGGCTTTTTCTGATACAATTTGACTTTTGGCAGCGAGTATTGAGCGAACATTGAACTAATCTATTTGTGTTTGCTTAACTTTGCAGCGATTAAGTTGATTCGCTGTCGTGTGTTGCTCTCCTCCTCTTCTTCTTCTCCTTTTTCTGTTGTTGTTTCCTGCGTATTACGTGACGTGTTGTCATTGGCGCCCCAGCAAATTGTTTATTTTTTTTTTTTCTTTTTTTCTCCTCTTTCCTTTCTTGTTTATTTAGCCCTGTGAGCTTTGACATAGGCGTTGCGCATAACTGTAACTGACAGCCAAGTCACCTCGGCTAACTGCTCGCGCGATAATCGTATAAAGCGCAAGAATCTCTGCATAGCTATACATCTCCTTATATATCTATGTATATATATATTTATATATATGTTGCCTTAAGTAGCCCGGTCAATTATGAGACAATTTCATGCTACTTCTGGGCATCCATTAATGCCGTAAATTGGACTGAACAGCAGCAGCAGCAGCAGCTTTATCTATACGTGCTCAGCTAATAACTTCTAGTTGCGTGGACAGCGACCCAATTCGACATTGTGAGCTTTAATTAATACGCCTGACCGAGCAATGCCCCCAGTTCCAACTATCTTTAGCTGCTCTTCTATGCTCAGATTAAACGCTTACTTATCTAGATTACTATGTGTGCGTGTGTGTATGTATGTGTGTGTGTGTGTGTGTGTGTGTGTGCCCTTCCTCTTCGTTGGCATCGAGTCGAGATTTGTTAATTATACACGTTATAATTAATGTGAAGCTCAGTTTCTCTATAGACTATGGCCAATTCATATCGTTCCCTTTCCATATCTCTCTATTACATCGTCCGCTTTCTAGCTAATTGTCAATAAATTTGCGTTCTCAAAATATCATTTTCAAGTAGCGAACATCTCCAGCTTCAATGCTGCATCATACCCCAATTAAGCTGTCATGCTGGCTGTCAGTTGTGCTTAATGCTTAAATGAAATCTAATCACGTTCTAATTTCAGTTAAGTTTGACAGCAATTTGTGTGCGACGACCAAAAACGAGACGGAATGAGAGAAACAGAGAGAGAGAGAGAGAGAGAGAGAGAGATAAGAGGTCACCCACTTGGCCCTTGCAATCCATTTGCCGCCCTGTTTGTCGCTTTGCTTGTATTTCATTTCCGGACATTTAAGTGTGAAGCTGTTTAGTTCTTTTCAACTTGGCCAAAAGCCAGCTCTAAATTTGCATTCATTTGAAGACATTGCGAGAGCGCACGCGACAGAGATACTAGAAATGGGTCCTACTTCAGCTCAAGTGAGCAGGAAATGTTAAGCAGCTAATGAAACGCGGAACGAATGCATTTTTGAAGGCAGTTTTTCAAATTGGCCAACAAGGGCATTTATAATGGCATTTATAATGCAGCTAAGATAACTTTATATGATTTAACAGAGCCAAAGTGACTCATTAAACTAATCTTACAGCTTATATGGAGCACTTTAATTTTATTAAAATGTTGGTATATATAAGTGTTTTACATTTTTTTTTTTTTGAGTTATTTAGGAGTACAGGCCACTCTAGTTCTTTTTTACTTAAACATAATATAATATAAATATTAAGAAGTACGAGGGGGAAAAGTTATATAAAAAACCCCTACATCAAATACTTAAACTATAAATATATTGCTTAACACATGAATAAAACTTTTTTGCTTAAATATATAATTATATACATATATATTAAAATGAATGATTATATATTTATAATTAAACATTTTAAAAACTCGGCAGTTAACAGCAAAAAAAAAAAAAAAAAAAAAAAAAAAAAAAAAAAAAAATATATATATATATATATATATATATATATATATATATAAACAATAATAATAATAATAAAAATAATAAATTTATTTATTATTAATTAATTTAATTTTGATTTATTAAAAATTGTAAAAATTAGTTAGTTAACAGCAAAAAACTAATAATGAAAAATAAATAATTAAATACTTATCATTAAAAATTCTAAACACTCGGCAGTTAACAGCAAAAAAATAAATAATTTAAAATAAACTATTATTATTTAAAATTCGAACAACTTGATAGTTAACGGCAAATAAACACTTCCCAATTATAATCAGGAACCTTCTGCTTAAGTCATAACTTCAATTTATAAATAAAAATAAAAACCCTTAAATCTTATAGTTAACAACAAATAAACACTGCCCAACAAATGTCTGATAAGTTTTGTGAATTAAGCGAAAAACTTTGTTTAATTTTCAATTAAACAAACAGTTTTCCCGAAAACGCAGCTAATTAGTGCGCCAATTGAATGGATCAGCGAGAGTTGAATGCAAAAACTTTGTTGTTGTTTTTGCAGCTGCGAAATAGTTGCCAACTGCATCAATGCAAAGCTCCAAGGACCTGCCCAGCCCCACCCCACTATCGCTCTCCTTCTCTATGCCGCAGGGTGAAGCTACCTCCAAAATGTTACGCTCAAATGCTGAAATGCGCACAAATTAAGCAATTAGAGCCAGTTAGTGGAGTTCTGCAGGCCAAAGAAATGAGATTAACGGAAATGCGTCTGGTGTTTGGCTCAGCCCGGAGGACATTCGAACGATCTAATTGCCACGCACACACTTACAATCTCACAAATATCACATCGCACTTAGTGGCAGCAATTGCGGCATATAAATTGAATTTATGCGCCCATTTCAATTTTTTCCGACTGCTTTTTGGCACATTGCTTATTGATTATTTTTACTAATTTATGTTGCTAATAAAATTGTCAATTTGTATGCGTGCAGTGTGGCTCTAACTTTGTCTCATCCTCTCTATCTCTGTCTCCCCTTTCGCTGAGGCGTGGCTGACAAAACCATTAGACTTAAGTGTCTGACTGAGGGTCCCGGTCCTGCCGGGATACGCTCAGCTCTGCTCGATTCCTGCCCAGAGGGCACAATGCCAACGGCTTTCGCAAATTGACGCTGCAGGACATTTCTAGTAATGATGATATTTTTTTCTCTCACTCGTCTCCCTCTCCGCCTCCCGCCCTA